CGGATGACATCTATTAACCTACGTTGTGGTACTTCGACCTGCTGCATTTTTTGAGAGTTTGTCTCGAACGGTTTTCGCTTGTTGCAAAACTTGACCTCCTGAACGTTTTTCGAGATTGTGGAACATATCAGTATTCAGGCCTTGTACTTGGTGGCTCGGTACCATCAATAATATTTTCTTGATAAAAACTTTAAGGAGAAGAGTAAGTAGATGATTTTGTCCTCAAAAAGTTGTGCAAATCACAGCATGCAAGAACTAGTGATTCGATGGAATCCACATTTAAACTGATTTTCAGTGTAAAAAACACGAAAACGTGCAGCTGAAGGTCCAAAACTGTTCTCAACTACTCGCCGTGCTCTCGATATACGATAGTTGCATATTCTTCTCTCGTTGTTAACGGAATCCCGACCGTAAGGCTCAATAAGATCAGGTCTTAATGCAAAGGCATCATCCCCCACAAAAACATATGGCAGGTCAAGATCAAAGCTAACTGGTTCGGGTCCAGGGATATTTAGTTGATTTTTTGTACGTTTGTCGTAAAAACGAGTGTTATTAATCACACCTCCATCAGATATTCTACCGTTCGTTGCTATATCACAAAGTATAAATTCGCAGTGAGCGTTTGCTATAGCCATCAAAACTATACTGTGTGTCTTCTTGTAGCTGAAGTAGTATGAAAGATTATCCTTTAGTGGAACAATCCGGACATGCACCAAAGATTTTAAAGTAACAAACATTGAAACACACCGTTCATTCGAAAGTAATAAGCATCAACAATTTAACCCCCAACTTTACCGACAGCAACCCTACCCCCCACCGTACATCTCACGAATGCCCGACCATCAACCATACCCTCAACAACACAATCCTCGTTGTTCCAGTGATAACATTCTACAGCTCCCAAACGCTCCAGCATTATACCCCCAAACTCTCAACCATGATACTCCTGAAGTTTCTAACGTGACACTACCAAACGTTCAAACAAACAAATCTGAACAATCCAATGCTCACCAATCAGAATGCTTCAGCCTTCTTTTCAAATTTCTCGGCATAGCAAGACATTCATGTTTCACATTCCATGATTATTCACTTTATATTGTATTTCATTTTGTTACTTTAAAACAAAATTAAAAACTAATATATAGACAAATATGTTTTATAATAAATAAAGCATACCTTGTTGTATTGTTGTAATACTTTGTAGATAGCTTCACAAGTTTCTGGGATTATTGAGCTGAGAGCTGGCTGAGAAATCGCAATAGAATATTCCATGTCCTTCCAGGTTCTTCCAGTGGCAAGAAATCGTAAGGCATCTGAGAGTCTTTCGTGAGGGGATATCGCTCTTCTCATTACAGTATCAAGAGAATTCCCTCTTCCTCAGTCACCACTCGCGACTCCACTTGGATCTGGGTTTTCGCGATTTTTCCTTTTTTTTACTCACTAAACATCCGATTAATACTGACAGTAGTACTGCTTCCTTCATGGCTACAGCATTTTATGAGGTCTTTAGCTGGCGACGATAGAATGTGACAAGGAATTGTTACAATTTCTCGTAGCGCGTAAACAGTACCCCCCTTGGATTTATCGGAGCAATAAATTTGCCAATCACATCATCGATAAATCGCGACGATATCTCGTAGCGTGTAATGCCGCCTTTATAACCTTTCAGCTTGTAACCATGTATTTTTTGAATAGCTAAATATGTTTTCCTCCATTTATTTCTTGTGATGTAGTACACTTGTATGTCTGTGGTTGAATGGTGTGTGGGAATTTCACTCAAGGTTTTATACGAGTATCTATACGCAATGGGATGGATGTGTGTGCCAACGTATGCCTTTTTCAATGGTGCTCGCACAATTCTTTGACAGGCTTTTTTATGGATAAATTGCAGTAAACATGCTATTACATGCAGCTTTTGTCTTTTGTTAATCGTTTACACAAATATGTGAAAATGACACTGATTTTTTTTGCAAACTCCGTCCGCTTTAATAATAGCATAGCCTAACATATTTTAGCATTATGCCAGTTGCGTCGGTTGCGTCCAACCGGCTAGGTACGCGTAGAAAGAGGGCAAGCCTACGATTTGTCTGTCTCCGAAATCTCAGTGTGTTGTCAGGATGAAAACACATACTACAAGTTGACCTAACCTGAGTTAATTTTTTGACAGCGGCATAAACATAATGAAGGTATATATATATTTACACAGGTACGAATTATTATGACTTTGTTGTAACGCTGTTACTTTGGTAGGCAATGGTATTCAAATGATTTTGAAAGTAATTGTTTTAAAATTTGAATGTTATAGATTTATACCAGCAAATTGATCACTTGCAGTCCTGCGAATGTGTAGCTAATTTTGATTCTTATACCAACTGTGCCACTGAATTTATTACCAGAATGCTACGATTGTACCATTCCAGTAATTTTCAGCTTATAAGCCCCTAATATTTATTAGTGAAAATAATCCGATATATGAAAATGTTTGTGTCTTTCTCTTATACTTTGACAGACTTGGTATCTCTTAATGTGTCCCAAAAAAATGAAAGTTCTTCTTTTTAAACACATAACCTCTAATTTTATTCCTTTTGACTCTAACAACTCAAAAAATAAATATTATTGCGATGAGGGAACGGCAACCCGTACCGATTTTAGGTAAAACTTCGAATTAGAAAGTTAATAGGGAAACCATGTGAGGATTTCAAACCTAATCCTCATTCGTCAAATAAAACATTGCTTTATTTGTATCTTATATTTCTCAGTTATTTATTATTAAAATAACATTTACTAGATTTTCTTTTCAAACTTCTCTTGTTAATAAGCTTTATAAACCTGGCCTGTATGTATGTATGTATGAATGTATGTAGGTATATAACCGAATCTTTGAGCATAATTTTCATCAATTTCCAGAAGCCTGATCAATCTGAAACTTCGCACATGTATCAAGGACCGATGACAATGCAATAATTTGATAACAGTTTTCAATTATTCTTAGGACCGTCATGATTGATAAAGATAGCGCTAGTATGCGTGAAGTTTCGGACTTAGTCTTTGTTGATTCCGGCACTCGACACAACACAACAGAGGCAGATTCTTTTTCAAGGTAGTGCATTCCCATCTAGTTCATTCCTTATATCTATTTCGGTTCAGATGGTGTGCACATGATTAAACCGATATCGATACAGTTCCAAGCGAAATACAGCTATGGAACTTCTGAGAAACGAATGTTGCCATTAAGGTGGCACTTCCCTTTTTTTAGATTTCAATTTCCTAGTTGCAGCAGTATTCTACATCCTTTTCATCTGATAATTTCATGGTGTGTATACAGATGTCTAAAAAAAAATGTTTTATTTTTTTTGTCAACAAATGCATTTTTTGTGAATTCTATTGTACGTTCATTCTTCTATCGGAATTTGTTAACCAATATAAGTACAGCTCTGAAATTGTGTGTCAATCTGCCTCTTTTATGGAAGACTGATTACTTTTGTGATTATTATACTTTTCCCTTTCGAAAGATCTTTGATTTTCTTGAAGCCTCGTCTCGCAGCAAGATGAGCCTTCAAGAAAAGAAAAGATATTTCTAAAAGGAAAAGTGACAAGAACAAAAGTAATCACTCGTTTCATTCTTCCATAATAAAGGAATAGTTACACACAATTTCAACGCTGTACTTATATTTGTTATCAAGTTCAGACTGAAGAAAAAAAATGCACAAAATATGCACAAGAAATCCATTTTTTGACAAAAAAAATGAAAACATCGTTTTTAGTCATCTCTATACACGCCATGAAATTATCAGATGAAAAGAATTTAGAATATTGCTGCAAACAGAAAGTAAGAAAAAAAAATCTAAAAAGAGGGACGTGCCACCTTAATCCTGAGTTGGGCTTCGACCGGCCACAAGATGCAACTTTCTACAGTCGATCACGCAGTCATTTATCCATGTTCGCGACTGTTTGCTGCTGGACAAGCTTATGTAGAACTTAGTCGTGTAAGATCTTTAGACGGTATTCGGGTTGAAGAATTTGATTGCTCTAAGTTAACAGAAAAAGCCCCATGCAACAGCGAAGCTTTAAATGAGATGATTAGATTACGAAATGATTCGTACGACATTTCAATACCACATGTCCATAAAAAAATAACAACAGGCTTTTATATCTAACCTAACTAAAAAATTGAAAATAGTCTTTAATAACATTTCAGTAGTAGATGTTTGAACAATCAATCATAATTAGTGACCTCAAAATCAAATTATAATAAAAGTTAAGCTATTAAGACCATAATTCAATTCAGAGTAAAAAGCCTGAGGTGCATTTCACTACATTTTCATAACTCTCCTCTCATAGATAGTTGCTAACAGAATGATTGTAACATATATCAAGCACTCCATGCGTTTTACTCTGATTTGAATTATTCTGTTGATAACTTAAATTCTATTATAATTTTATTTTGAGGTCATGAATTATGATTGATTGTTCGACCATCTACTTCTGTAATTAAAAATTATTTTCTAGTCTTTAGGTCGGTTAGTTATAAAAGCGTGTTTTTTTAGTTTTTTTAACTACTATTTATTACAGTCAGGATATATGTGTGAGCCTTTCGCTGAATCGCTACGCTACGCCAATGAAAATGTTTTGTTTACTTCTGGCGTCCGTGAATATTCCGATGTGTTTCGATGTGTTTTTTGGTCAAGGTAGTTAGTCATGGTCAGTCTTGTAACATATGCTGGAGTGAATATATGCGACATAAGTTATGAAGTGTTTGATTTTCCCCACGAAGAGAATGATTTTCTCACATCAGAAGTGGGATTCAATTCGCTAAAAGGACCGCAGTAGAAATATATAGTGCAACCTGACTTATTTCGAGTGTGCGTGCATGAGCAATTCATTGTCCTGAGCGTATATGGTGAACGTTACTTTTGGCAGTAATACTTAATCGCAGTGTTTTAACTGCAGTTCTTCGTGGAGTTCAGCAGCAACCCCAACAAGCCGCAGCTGCGTGGGCGATGCCAGTACCCTCCGCGCCAATGAACATTCCAGCTTTCGATCCCTCAAAAAGCGATGCGGGAGCAATGGGTTGGTGTGATGATATGGATACCTTGGCAGCCTTATTCAAGTGGACTGATTTTGAACAGCTTTGCAGAGTCGAGGGTGCCAGGAAGGTGACGCAAAGGATTGGTATGACAACTGGCATCCATCAAATAAAGTTTGGGCTAGTTTCCGGGCCGAGCTTTGTCAGCTTTATCCTGCGAAGAGGAATCTTAGTGAGCGGTTACGTAAAGCTAGTATGTACAGAAGTGACCAAGCCACGGAATATTGTGAGTACGCAAGCAGAAAAATATCTTTGTTAAATTCTCTAGGTTTTAATTTGAGCCAAATAGTTGAGATAGTTCTTGGTGATATAACGGACACCCATGTCAAAACAGCTGCTTTTAATAGTAGAGTTGATTCTATTTCGACCTAACTTAACTTGCTTAGTAACTATCAAATTAATAAACAAGACTCTCAGCTCCAAGAAGGGGCACCAAAACGCCCGAATCCGTTTAAACATAATGATGAAGGAAAAATATGTTATTCCTGTAAAAATCCTGCGTAGACCTAAGTACGAGTAGATAAAGATTTTTGCATAAAATTCAAAATACAAAATTTGACTGTAAACTGTTTGATCGACACGGGTGCAGAATGTAGTTTGATTTCCGAAAAAGTCGCCCATAAATTGCACTGTCATTTCGAAACAGCTTTTATAATGTTAACAGGTATAGGAGGCAACTCAATACCAAGTTGTCAAAGGGCTAATTTACTAGTTGAGAGAGAGGGGACGGCATTTGAAATTAGCTTTTATGTTGTCGAAACTTCTGTTATGGAATTAGATGCAATTTTGGGTAGAGATTTATTTAATCATAAAGGAATCAAAATTTGCACTGACTCATGTGGGTCTAGAATTTATCTCGAAGACACAAATAAAATAGAATCTAAAAAGATTCAAAACGTAACAATTTCTCCCGAGAAAATTCAAACACCACTGAATGGACATGATTTCGCTTGTTGAAATTATTATCAAAATATAGCGATTCTATAACTGTTGGTAATTCCGTGAGGGCAGTAACAACCGGTGAAAGGGAAATCAAATTAAAAAGCGATAAAATAATTTGTTATAACCCTACCGAATGTCATTGTCCGAACGAGAAAAGGTGAAAGATATTATTGATGACCTCTTACAAGACGTGAAAGCACATCGCCTTTTGCTAGCCCCGTTATTCTGGTGTACAAAAAAGATGGCAGCCAACGTTTATGCGTAGACTACCGCGCCCGTAATGAAATAACCATTAAAGATCGGTTTTCACTGCCACGTATAGACGACCAAGTTGATCAGCTGGAGGGAAGCAAGTATTTTACGACTCTCAATATGGCAGCAAGGATTCATCAAATTCCTATAGCTGAAAACTCTATTTCCAAAACGGCTTTTGTCACGCCTGACGGGCATTTCGAATACCTGCGGTCGCCATTTGGTCTATCGAATTCCCTTGCAGTGTTTCAACGGGCGATTTGTAAAGCTCTGGGTAAACTCAAAGACACGGATGCGCTGGTTTATCTGGACGACGTAATCATTCCATCAAAAACCATCCAGACAGGCGGGCTTCAAACATTAACAAATGCAATTTTAAAAAAAAATATTTATTTTGGTCATGAAATTTCCGAAGATGGTGTAAGGCCTGACGAAGAAAAATCAAAAGCTTTATTCAATGCGCCCGATCCAAAAAATGTAAAACAGGTCTGCCAATTTATGGGCCTAGCCGGATACTTTCGGAAGTACATCTCTGAATTTTCAACGCAGACAGCTGGTATTACAAACCTAACAAAAATAGGAGTCGATTTTGTGTGGGGAACCGAACAAGAAGTTGCCAAAATCTACGTTTATGCCTTTCTGTCTCAACGACCTCTCCTAACGATTTTTGACCCGACTTTAGACACGGAGCTTCATACAGACGCGACCTCCTTGGGGTTTGGGGCTATGCTCTTCCAAAAAGTAGATAATAAACTAAAAGCCATCTCTTATTTTTCAAAACGTGCTACAAATGAGGAAAGTAGCTACCACTCATACGAGCTTGAGATTCTAGCCGTCTATTATGCAGTAAAACATTATCGCGTTTACTTATATGGAACCACATTTAAACTTATCACTGATTTCAACTCGCTAAAAATGACTCAGAAAAAAAAAGATTTATTGCCCAGAGTCGCGAGGTGGTAGCTCTACTTGCAATCGTTTAACTTTAATATCGAATATCGGAAATGCAAATATATTCCACACGTCAATTATTTTAGCCGAAACCCCCCGCAACCAGCTGAAGAAATCGATTGCGTCGCTCCCGTGAATGTTCTTACAACTGGTAACTGTCTTAAAATTAACCAAAAGCGCGATCCCGAAACTCGCGATGTCAAATCAAAATTACTCGAAGGTCAGCTAACTCACGAGTACTTCTGTCAGAACGAAGTTCTATTTCAAAAAATTAACCCGGGCCAAAACCCACCAATTTATAGGGCTTTCGTTCCCAAGGGAAGTAGACTCGGTTCGTTAAAAATGTTCCACGACGAACAGTCGCACGTTGGACCAGATAATACCTTCGCAAAGCGTAACCATTATTTCTGGTTCCCGCGAATGGCACGTTTCGTCAAAAAATATTGTGACCACTGCCTTAAATGTATTGCAAATAAAAAACACACTGGGCGCAAACAGGGACTATTACACCCTATCGAAAAGATCCCAATTCCACTTCACACAGTGCATTGCGACTGTGTAGGACCCTTCCCTTTAACATCAGAGGGTTACAAACATGTCCTTTTAATAGACGGTTGATAAGTGATAGGGGAACTAACTTTACCGACCAACAAGTAAAAGAGTTACTCTCAAAATTAAACATTACCCAACATCTAATCGTCAAAAGTGCCCCACGCGGATATGGGCAGGTAGAGCGATACGTCTCAACAGTTCTAGACCTGCTCAGAGTAAATGTCAATAATGATAAGTCAGAATGGGCGAGCGTTCTCCCCAAGTTACAATTGACCCTTAATACTTTTATCCAAAAAACAACTGGATTTTCCCCACTCTATTTGTTAACAGGGCAACTTATGGATACCATGAATCTTCAGAACTTAATAGAGAGTATAAAACCAGTGACGACTACCGATCAAAATTTAATTAATGATCGTAAAACTGCCTACGAACGCTCTCTGCGTTGTGGTTTAGAGTCAAAAGACAGATTTGATAAAAGCCGAAAAACAAGTAACAGTTTTACAGTAGGAGACATAGTTTTCCATCTATCTGGAAATTCGCACCTAGCTAAACTAGATCCTAGATACGAAGGTCCATTCGAAATCTTACAGTTGTTGCCTAATGAACGAGTAGAAATTACAAATGGCTACCAATCGCAAAAGAATTGTTGCTAATGATATGATGCGGATATGGCCAGGTGAATTTGAATAAGAAAACATTTAATAACTATTGTTATTTGTTTATCCCTTTTTGTACATTCTTTTGTTGGTATTATAAGAATGTTGTTGTTTAGCTGGGATGGATAAGAAATTCGCAATAAAATAAGAAAAGGCGCGTCTTAGGAACACCGAAGAGAAAAAGCAGCGAGTTAAATATGTTGGTTCCTTAACACCTGCGACATCATCTTACAAACCAGTGCAAGAAAATTCATCTTCAGATGCCGAGATAGATTTATAAGAAACTTTGCTTATCCCAACACAGCATATAGCCTGATACTAATCAAATTCACTGCAGAAAAGTTTCTCCCAAATTAGTGGCAGCCTTAGATAGGTGTCAGTTAAGTATAAGAAATGATTTTTTTAATATTGAAGCAACCATTGAGGCACTTCCTATAAGCAAGTCCCTCATTCTAAGAATTCTTATAGAAAAGCGAAAGGAGCACTCAGAAGCTATAAAGCTTGATTTCCAAAGCAAGGTACCGGAAACTGTAACTGTCCACTAAGATGGTAAATTGCTGACATCTTCAAATGCACGTAAGCTTAAAGAAGAACGTCTACAGGTTGTTATAATGTACGAAAATAAAGAACAACTTATCACTGTGCCCAAATTGGGAGGCTATTACTGACTGAAATCTTAAAGATAAATTTCAGATTCTCTGTTGTGATACTGCTTCAAATACAAGTCGCATTAACGGTGCCAGCGTGCTTCTCGAACAGAAACCTAACAAACAAACGTTTATTTTTGCTTGCCGCCATCATGTCTATGAATTGGTGTTAACAAGCATGTTTGAATCAGAGATCGACCAAGTTACTGCAAGTCCTGACATTTCAATGTTTAAAAAGTTTCACGAGAGCTGGAAAAGTTTGGATCCCGAGAAGATACACGCATATACTGAAAAGCTATCATGCCTGGGTATTTCAGAGACTAGCAAGCTACTAGAATTTTATCGGCATGAATTGACCAAAGAAGTTGCTAGAGACGACTATCGAGAATTAGTAGAACTTTCAATAATATTCCTTGGTAGAAGTACCGAGAGAAAACTTAAGATTCGACCGCCAGACGCCGTGCATTGAGCTCGACTCTGGCCATAGATGGTACCTTATACTATTTTGTTTTGATAGATCTTATACCTCAGATAGAGGTTAGTTGCTATGTTCTCGGTCGCTGTACTGACCTGAGATCAAGCTTAAGCGATGCTGCACAAAACATCTGTACATGATTGACCGTCTGTGGCCCGACGGACAAAATCAGTATGTTTAGCTATTCTTCGTTTTTTCATTTCAGAGAAAAATATCGATCACTTTGTTGCAATCAAAAGCAAGTCCTGGCTCAGTCGCTTCAAAATTGATGACAGTTTTCTCGACGAGTGTTTAACTTCATGGCCACATAATGATTCTTTTCAACAGGCTAAGAATAAGGTGCAAGTACTGAGAGCAGTTAACGATACTGCACAAGGAGCAGTCAAGTAAAAGCAAGATTTCCATGGCTTAATTACTGCTGACGAGGAATATTTGTTTGTATTATAATGCGTACAAGAACACAAGCAGGTTTATCCTGACTGTAAAAATAAAACTTTTATAAGAAAATTAAGTAAATAATGTCCTTTCAATGATAAATATCTAAGAAATTTAGGATACAAATAAAGCAGTGTTTTATTTGTCGAATAAGTTTTGAAATCCATACATAGTTCTCCTATTAACTTTCGAATTCAAAGATTCCGATCGGAATAATATTCGTTTTTTGAGTTGTTAGAGTCAAATGGAAACAATAGGGGGTATGCGTATCTCAATTTGAAAAAAAATTGTTTGTCAGCATAGGCTGGTTCACCCTAACGGACATACTATCATAGATACTAACATA